TTATTGGCGTAACTACAGATAGAGGTAATTCCGATTTGTTTAGCGTGTCCAGTTAGCGCAGGGAAGCTCAGTTGTAAATTACCCTGATAAACACAATGGCCAGTAGCGGGTTGTGCGGAATATTCAGGTAAAGATAAATTCATTTTTTATTTAATTGGTTTAGAGCAGGAGACGAGGGTCCTGTGCGCTGGCTAGTGTTCCTGTCTGAACACTGTACAATGGTTCCGGAGCTTCGGTCACCCATCCAGAGTGAGTGTGTGTGTGTGTGTGTGTGTGTGTGTGTGTGTGTGTGTGTGTGCGTGTGTGCGTGTGTGCGTGTGTGTGTGTGTGTGTGTGTGTGTGTGTGTGTGTGTGTGTGTGTGTGTGTGTGTGTGTGTGTGTGTGTGTGTGAACCTATTGCACTCTCCTGGCCAGCTGACGAGAATACCTTGAGGGTGGTTATCTGAAGCTCAATTCAAAACCAACGCTGTCTTCTCATTGGAAATGTTCAAGGATAATGCCAGAAGATTTGGGCAATTTCCATTTGCCATCGCAGCTTTCCAGTTACACTGTACTTCACTCACGCCGAGACCCTGATGAACCTGTTTGTTGGGTGTACAGAACACACACCACTGAAGGTTCTGTCAGCTGCCCGTCATCCCTTTCTGTGTTCTATTTCTTTAGTTCTCTTTCTATCTGCATCTCTCTCTAGTCGTACCGCTTGTGCTTCACGAGGAGAGGACATAAGTAAGCACCACAGAGGGCTGAGGGGCATATATATTCGGTGGTGCTCAGCTTAATCCAACTCTGGTCACTCGTCTACATTTCATGCCTCTACATATATAGCTAACTATACCATTTGCCTCATTTATCTTAGTCAATATCCTATTTCAATCGTCTACCGTCCTATTTCCTAACTAATACTTCCCTCTATCCTTTCTCAAGCTTAACTGCTGCGTAACAAAGCCAAGCTTACAGATGATTTTGCTTCGGGTTCTGACTTGAGTTAATAGCAATAGCTTTAGATGTTGCTCATGAGATCCGTCTCATCCACTTGCAGACCTCGATCGTCCCTCGGTCTTCGCCTTTCTAGAAAATGTAGACCGATCTTTGTTCATCCTATGTTGGCCTTTCTCCTGGGAGTCAATGTTCACTCTAATACAGAGACCAGAATTGTTTGGCGTAATATAAGTAGTATAATTCTAGGGTCTCACTAGGGTCAAATAAAATTAAGGAACTCTACAATTATTGCTATATCTCTCTCTGGCTGTGTTACCAACCTTTCATCTTCTCTCTAAGCACCAGCAAGAACTCCTCGGACTTAGTCTTTCTTTCGGTACTTCCTGTGGCCCGCACTGAGGCATTGACCTCATTAGTTCCTTTGTTAAGTTTGTCAATTCTAACTCTAGTACTCTTTCAGACCTGTCTGCCTTTAGAGGGGGCCCTTATCCCCGTTCTTGAGAGCCAGTTTTCTAAAAATCACCACGTATTTCGTCGCTTCCAGCTTGCCCTTGCCTCCCTGAAATCTAACAACTCTATTCTTATCCTTCCTTCCGACAAAGGCAATTCGGTGGTTGTCCTTGACCGGGAGGACTACCTCCGGAGAGCAGATGTCTTGCTCTCTGACTCCTGTACATATGCCCCTCTGACTTCTAACCCTTTAGATCGCCTTAAAACTTCCTTTAACCACAAACTAAGACAGCTCTCTAGTCTTTGTCCTCCTGACTTCTTGCTATTACTACTACCCCCCCCCCCAGCTGTTCTTGTGTAATTGTACTCACCTAGCAGTGCTCAGTTGTACTAAACTACATGTACTCCCTTCTAGTTGAGGCCGTGTGGTTGTAGTAACGTAGTTGTACTCTCCGAGTTGCACTCGTGTAGTTGTACTAACCTAATTCTTCTCACCTACTTGTACTCCTCTAGTTGCAGTTATGTAATTGTACTCACCTAGTTGTACTCGCCCATTTGTGCTTAACATGAAAACCCTATTATTAAATATATACATTAGCAAATAGTGTTATACATTTTGTTTAGCAAAATCATATTAAAAAATTAAATAAACAGCTAGTTTTGCTAGCTGTTTGTAAATGTTTTGCACATCTTTCATACAACTCAGATACAACATTTATGATTAATATTAATGTATTTCAAAATGACATACAAAATTAATAAATGAATATGAAAAAAGTTTTAATATATTAGGGAACAAATAGTGTTATATAAGCCAATATTAGCTATATCGAAACAAATTATAATCCAATATATCTTTGAGTAACTAAATGTCTTAAGAATGTTTCATACAGCTATGAAACAACATTCACAGATGATATATGTAATGCAAATGAATTTGATATTTAAACATGAAAAACTATTTTTGTTACATATAAAATATAAACTAAAGTTAAAAAGACAGCATTTGCCAAATTACATAAATACTTTTAACAATCTTGGGTTAAAGGTTGCTCATGTGCCTGTTGACCCCATGTTGCAGTCATGGGTCATGTGCCTGTTGACCCCATGTTGCAGTCATGGGTCATGTGCCTCTTGACCCCATGTTGCAGTCATGGGTCATGTGCCTCTTGACCCCATGTTGCAGTCATGGGTCATGTGCCTATTGACCCCATGTTGCAGTCATGGGTCATGTGCCTGTTGACCCCATGTTGCAGTCATGGGTCATGTGCCTGTTGACCCCATGTTGCAGTCATGGGTCATGTGCCTCTTGACCCCATGTTGCAGTCATGGGTCATGTGCCTGTTGACCCCATGTTGCAGTCATGGGTCATGTGCCTGTTGACCCCATGTTGCAGTCATGGGTCATGTGCCTCTTGACCCCATGTTGCAGTCATGGGTCATGTGCCTGTTGACCCCATGTTGCAGTCATGGGTCATGTGCCTCTTGACCCCATGTTGCAGTCATGGGTCATGTGCCTGTTGACCCCATGTTGCAGTCATGGGTCATGTGCCTGTTGACCCCATGTTGCAGTCATGGGTCATGTGCCTCTTGACCCCATGTTGCAGTCATGGGTCATGTGCCTGTTGACCCCATGTTGCAGTCATGGGTCATGTGCCTGTTGACCCCATGTTGCAGTCATGGGTCATGTGCCTGTTGACCCCATGTTGCAGTCATGGGTCATGTGCCTGTTGACCCCATGTTGCAGTCATGGGTCATGTGCCTGTTGACCCCATGTTGCAGTCATGGGTCATGCGCCTGTTGACCCCATGTTGCAGTCATGGGTCATGTGCCTGTTGACCCCATGTTGCAGTCATGGGTCATGTGCTTGTTGACCCCATGTTGCAGTCATGGGTCATGTGCCTCTTGACCCCATGTTGCAGTCATGGGTCATGTGCCTGTTGACCCCATGTTGCAGTCATGGGTCATGTGCCTGTTGACCCCATGTTGCAGTCATGGGTCATGTGCCTGTTGACCCCATGTTGCAGTCATGGGTCATGTGCCTCTTGACCCCATGTTGCAGTCATGGGTCATGTGCCTCTTGACCCCATGTTGCAGTCATGGGTCATGTGCCTGTTGACCCCATGTTGCAGTCATGGGTCATGTGCCTGTTGACCCCATGTTGCAGTCATGGGTCATGTGCCTGTTGACCCCATGTTGCAGTCATGGGTCATGTGCCTCTTGACCCCATGTTGCAGTCATGGGTCATGTGCCTCTTGACCCCATGTTGCAGTCATGGGTCATGTGCCTATTGACCCCATGTTGCAGTCATGGGTCATGTGCCTGTTGACCCCATGTTGCAGTCATGGGTCATGTGCCTGTTGACCCCATGTTGCAGTCATGGGTCATGTGCCTCTTGACCCATACTTGCAACTTTTCTTTCCCACAACTCTTTGGAAACGTTAGTGGAAGGTGCAGAAACAAGAGTTGCTACATTCTTGTACAGCCACTAGTACGCGTAGCGTTTCGGGCAAGTCTTTAATCCTAAGGGTCCCTGGAATACGATCCCCTGCCGCGAAGAATCGATTTTTCATCCAAGTACACATTTTACTGTTGCGTTAAACAGAGGCTACAGTTAAGGAATTGCGCCCAGTAAATCCTCCCCGGCCAGGATACGAACCCATGACATAGCGCTCGCGGAACGCCAGGCGAGTGTCTTACCACTACACCACGGAGACTGCGAAAACATTTTCGAAAGAAACGTTTTGTGTTGGGTCCTATCTCAACAACGAACTTGGCATTACCGTTTTGTACGTTCCACACACTTGAAGGGTAAAGGAATACTTTACCCTTCATATATATATAATATATATTGGTTGCCTGTCCCCGACAAAATGAATTATTAATATTATTATTATAAAAAAAAGTGTTGTCAATATGTAAACAAGAGCCAAGCCGACAGGAAGCAGGGATTACAGACTGGAATGAGGGGAAGGAGAGGAAGAATACAAGGAAATAATAAAGATTTATAACCTTGCAACGGGAGAGAAATAGTCAAATAATGCCCGAACTAAAATTATTCAATTTAGTAAAGAAGAAAATTTTCAAAGTTATCCTTATGAAGGTTAAGTGAGAGGATGGGGAAGATGAGAATACATAGAAAATGGAAATTATATATTTTATACGGGTAAACTCAAGCATTTTGGCTTGCTATTGCTGTGGCCAAGTTTTATTTTTTTTATTTATTTATATATACAAGATTTTGTGCATTCTTGTACATCCATTAGCACGTTTCGGGCAGGTCCGTAATCCAGAGCTAGTGTATAGAAGCTAGTGTATAGAAGCTAGTGTATAGAAGCTTCCCTTTCGTCCACCAGTCCCACTCGGTCACCTGGCGGGAGTCACATTATATAGGAGAGAGCAGGCGGTGTAGGCCTTGCTGGAGGCAACATCACTGATTATTTATTTTACTAATTTCTTCAAGGTAAAAAGTCTCACGTCTGTATATCTTGAAGAAAATAATTATTTAAATAATTTTGTAATATACCTCTTAACTAATCTTCATAACAAACTGCTTATTTACTGACACTCAGTTCTCATTGTTTGTTAATAGAGAGCACGGTCTCTTTCCAGCTGTTCATGATCGACAACTGTGCAGACGACTGGCGCATCGCCATGACCTGGCAGCGTATCGCCAGAATATCTATGGAGCTGATCATCTGCGCAGTCCACCCGGTCCCTGGAGAGTACTACTTCTATTGGACGACCAAGCTCTCGAACCAGGGGGGCGTGGAGGGCTCTCAGTGGGTGCCCATCGACGTCACCCTCTCCCTACCTATGTTTCTCCGCCTGTACCTCATATGCAGGGTCATGTTACTACATTCTAAGGTTAGTTGGGGGCATGAAGCTACTTTTCCTGACTTTCTACGAGTTTAAGATGCATTTGAAAGTCTGTGAAGGGAGTGAGAATCATTAGTTCAGATGAATTGACGTAACTGAGATCAATTTCGGTCATGTGACGTCTTGAGTTAAGCCTACAAGCATTTAAGGGTCATTAACTCCTAACTCAGGTATAGCTTTCAATTTGTGTTATTAACAGTTAAGGTAAAACATGAAAACATGTTATTCTGATAATTAACATTATTTAATAAACTGTAAGCACAAATAGCAAGACTGTTTAGACGTAGAGAACTCTCGGGAGGATACAATAAAGGCAGGTCAGCTAGGGTTATAGAGGTAAGCTGCTGGGGACTTAAGATGTCTCAAGTTTCATACATCCAACATTTTCTTTAAGCAACTAGACAACATTTCATGTTATGGTTAATAATGTCAGCAAATAATCATATTTTAGTTTATTTCAGATAGGCATCCTTGAGAAATTAAGATATATGTATACTCAACTATTTGTGCCTGCAGAATCAAGCTCTAGCTCTTGGACCCTGCTTTTCTAGCCGTTGGTTGTCAAATGCAATAACTCCTAATGCAGTATTTCCCTATCATACCTGCTTTTAAAGTTATGAATGGAGTTAGCCTCTACAACCTGTTCCTTTAGGTCATTCCATTTTCTCACTTCCCTTAAGCTAAAAGAAAATTTCCGAAAATCTGACACATCTGAGTCTCAAGCTTCCACCCGTGGCCCCCTTGTTCTACTGTTATTCATTATACACATTTCCTCTCTTTCCACCTTTCCTATTTTCTTATTTTCAACGAAGCAGAGATTCTGTAAGGCGGACGCTAATAGTCGTCAAGTTATCTTCAACGTTAAGACAAGGGCTGAGAATTGCAACTCCCTCAGCAACTCCCTCAGCAACTCCCTCAGCAACTCCCTCAGCAACTCCCTCAGCAACTCCCTCAGCAACTCCCTCAGCTTCGACATTGCCTCGGGTGCCTCGGCCATTGTATGTAAAGCACAGTGACACAGATCTATTCATGACCTTACCTTCTGCTTCGGGATGCCAGTGGTAGCGAGATACCGGGAAGAGCATTATCTTGAGGTTATCTTGAGATGATTTCGGGGCTTTAGTGTCCCCGCGGCCCGGTCCTCGACCAGGCCTCCACCCCCAGGAAGCAGCCCGTGACAGCTGACTAACTCCCAGGTACCTATTTACTGCTAGGTAACAGGGGCATTCAGGGTGAAAGAAACATTGCCCATTTGTTTCTGCCTCGTGCGGGAATCGAACCCGCGCCACAGAATTACGAGTCCTGCACGCTATCCACCAGGCTACGAGGCACTGGCACATTGCATTGGACCTTGATCTCCAATTTACACATTGGGAACTGGAGGAGGCAAATGCTGATCTAACATTTGCCAGATAGAGCACATCATCTGGTGCGGATTGTCTTCCAAACGAATTCGTTTGCATGTGCTAGCAACTTTGCATTGCCACCTGTTTTTTGTCAATACCTGCTGATATTTGTGTGTCTTCCCTGATCCATAGAAACCTGCTATTCTCCATCCATTCCCCAAGCTCCGGCAAACTGTCTACTCAACTTTAAACACCTTATCATGGACACTTACTGAGTGGAGGAGGGTTCTCCTTACAACATTCTTGGATTTAAACGGAGTTTCAGACACGGTTTACCATAATACTCCTCCAGGGCCTAGCCTACTTTGGCTTCTCTGGGAGAGCAGGGTCATATGGCTGGCCGCTCTTTCTGGGTGATTGTTGGAGGTAAGGTCTCCACATCCCACACATAAGCAGGGTCCCACACGGTGTGATCCTCAACCCAGTGGTATTTAAAACTCTCCTCTCTGCGAAACACTCCACCCTGGTGTTCAGGTTATAGCACAAACTGATGATATGCCCTCGTTGGGGAGGGAACCATTCTCCAAGAGTCAAAGTACAATCTACAGAGAGCATTGGCAGGATTATCAGTCTGGGTGATAGGGACGGGGGGCTCTATCAATCTGGAGAAGAGTTCCATTATGTGCTTTGCCAGAACCGTATGTTCGAGTATGGTCTTCTAGTGGCCACGGCACACAGGTGCCTAGGGCTCATACTCGACGGTCCTAGTCTGTCGGAGAGGCATCATGTACAATATCTCTAACTCTTACCTTCCCCTCGTTGATACCATAAAGATTTTCTTTGATGTGGTGTGAGGGGCATGAAAGGAGCCCCAGCTGGCACTCCATAAGGCTAACACCAATACCATGGTTCAGAGCACATGCGAGGTATAGTTCTTCAACTGTCAATCTGTTGGATACGAATGGTGCCGTTCGTACCACACTCGGGGCAACACCTTCCTCGTCAACACCTTCCTCGTCAACACCTTCCTCGTCAACACCTTCCTCGTCAACACTTTCCTCGTCAACACCTTCCAGTGGGTTTGACTTGGGAAATTTGGATGTGTCTTCATATGTCACTGGCTCTTCACTTGTTTCTAATTCCTCCTAGCGCTCTGCCTCCTTTATCAGGTTTCTCACCCCTCCGCGGTTATACTATGCAGGGACTCGACTACTGCCCTTCACCTAGTGTTCTCTCGACGCCAGTAGGTACATCGACACATGGGGTCTCACATTCATGACAAGCTACTCCTGCACTTTGATACCTCGGGATGCTATATTGCTTTCCAGTGTCGAGATTTCGGGAATATGGTTGTAGACGCGGCGTCTTCTGTTGATTGACAGAATGTCATGAATGCTGGAAGGCAGATCTGGCACCTTCCCTTTGAATATCATCTCTGGGCTGCCCCCTGCGAGGGGTCGTTCTCTCGCCAGTGGGTTCAACATCACAACTGGTTCTTTGAATTGTTCTCATTCATCTAAGAATTTGACACTCTTGCCTCGTAGCGAATATGCATCGTTTCTACCTGACTTATTCTTCTGCTGCCAATGGTGTTCGAACATGTTTACAGATCTCTCGCTTCACAGTAACTGTTCTCCTAGAAGGAGCTGGTGCGAAGGAAGACAGCACCAGGCATGAGTTTCTACTCTTCACTTTCTGCCTCAAGTGTCACACGTAGCGTCTGAAGAGGCTGTAGAGGAATTATATTTATTTTGTCATTTCTCGTACCTGAGTTACCGGGCTGCATCCTATCGACGGGTCGTCGTCGTCGTCACTACTTTGAGGTTACCTTGAGTGCTTCCGGGGCTTAGCGTCCCCGCGGCCCGGTCGGCTTCCTGGTTGCTGGACTGATCAACCAGACCACTCCAAAGTCAGCAGCACTGCTAGCTGATCTTCCCTACTCCCTGTGTGTTCCTGCTGCCTCACGAACCACTGTTGATGCTCCTCCATTGTACGTGATGACTTCTATTACCTATCGTCTTCTCCCTTCCTCTTGTCAGCCTCCTGACGCCCAAACTGTCGATAGTATCATCCCCTTCCTCTTGTCAGCCTCCTGACGCTCAAACTGTCGATAGTATCATCCCCTTCCTCTTGTCAGCCTCCTGACGCCCAAACTGTCGATAGTGTCATCCCCTTCCTCTTGTCAGCCTCCTGACGCCCAAACTGTCGATAGTATCATCCCCTTCCTCTTGTCAGCCTCCTGACGCTCAAACTGTCGATAGTGTCATCCCCTTCCTCTTGTCAGCCTCCTGACGCCCAAACTGTCGATAGTGTCATCCCCTTCCTCTTGTCAGCCTCCTGACGCTCAAACTGTCGATAGTATCATCCCCTTCCTCTTGTCAGCCTCCTGACGCCCAAACTGTCGATAGTGTCATCCCCTTCCTCTTGTCAGCCTCCTGACGCTCAAACTGTCGATAGTGTCATCCCCTTCCTCTTGTCAGCCTCCTGACGCTCAAACTGTCGATAGTGTCATCCCCTTCCTCTTGTCAGCCTCCTGACGCCCAAACTGTCGATAGTGTCATCCCCTTCCTCTTGTCAGCCTCCTGACGCTCAAACTGTCGATAGTATCATCCCCTTCCTCTTGTCAGCCTCCTGACGCCCAAACTGTCGATAGTGTCATCCCCTTCCTCTTGTCAGCCTCCTGACGCTCAAACTGTCGATAGTGTCATCCCCTTCCTCTTGTCAGCCTCCTGACGCTCAAACTGTCGATAGTGTCATCCCCTTCCTCTTGTCAGCCTCCTGACGCTCAAACTGTCGATAGTGTCATCCCCTTCCTCTTGTCAGCCTCCTGACGCTCAAACTGTCGATAGTATCATCCCCTTCCTCTTGTCAGCCTCCTGACGCCCAACTGTCGATAGTGTCATCCCCTTCCTCTTGTCAGCCTCCTGACGCTCAAACTGTCGATAGTATCATCCCCTTCCTCTTGTCAGCCTCCTGACGCCCAAACTGTCGATAGTATCATCCCCTTCCTCTTGTCAGCCTCCTGACGCTCAAACTGTCGATAGTATCATCCCCTTCCTCTTGTCAGCCTCCTGACGCTCAAACTGTCGATAGTATCATCCCCTTCCTCTTGTCAGCCTCCTGACGCTCAAACTGTCGATAGTGTCATCCCCCCTTTTCATTGTCAGCCGCATGACGCCCAAAACATGTTCAGTTTCACTTCCCTTTCCTTTGCTAGCCCCTTAATGCTGTCAGTGGCATATAATGTCAGCAGCCCTACAACTGTCAGCCCCCTGACGCCCACACCGTCTCCATTGTCAGTCCCACTTGTTCGTCCACCTTAACAGTATTCTCGAAATATGGTCACAAAAATACTTTGTTTAAATACAACAATGAGTAAATCCACAGGAGCCGTGATGAGGATTCGAACTTATGCGCTGGGTATTCCCAGACATACCTTTTAAACGACTGGGCCAGCTTAGTCACGTCGTGTCCATGCCGTGTCGTAGACCATGTCGTCTGGGGCGCGTGTCTGGGAACACCCAGCACATAGGTTCGAATCCTCATCACAGCTCTTGTGGATTTTTTTCATGGCTTTATCACATTACTGTGATTTCTCTGTGTGCAACAATAAGTCTTGTGAGCCCATACATCTGTTACACACAGAGCCTCCCAACAGAGCCTCCCAACAGAGCCTCCCAACAGAGCCTCCCAACAGAGCCTCCCAACAGAGCCTCCCAACAGAGCCTCCCAACAGAGCCTCCCAACAGAGCCTCCCAACAGAGCCTCCCAACAGCCTCTCTCCCTGTACCAAGAATGACAATTCCTCAAGTTTCCGGCATCCATTAACTCCTTGTATTATTTTGTGTGTGTATTTACAACGCTTAGATCCACTCCATCCGTCCTCAAAGGTGTTTCCTCCCTAATGATGTCAATTTGTATTTATTGCAAGGAACATTGTCAACAGTGGTCGACTCCATATTGGCCAGAGAATTTCCTCTCAACAAAGTATATATTTGTTATTCATTGATCCATCTCGCCAAAGACGTCCATGGTCTTTTGCTTCCCAAGAAACCTCTCTCTCACTGGTTACATCTTGGAGTTTCTTATATGCAACTGCTGGTAAATGTCTAACTATCTCCCCCCAGCATCCCATGGTAATGTCTCATTATGTCTCCAGGCATCCATTAGCCATGTCTCATTATCTCTCCCATCATCCCATGACAGTGCCTCACCTCCCAGAGTGTCCCATGGTGATGCCTCATTATCTCCTCCATCTCATGGTAATGTCTCATTACCTCCTCCATCCCATGGTAATGTCTCATTACCTTCCCCATCCCATGGTAAAGTCTCATTACCTCCCCCATCCCATGGTAATGTCTCATTACCTTCCCCATCCCATGGTAATGTCTCATTACCTTCCCAATCTCATGGTAATGTCTCATTACCTCCCCCATCCCATGGTAATGTCTCATTACCTCCCCCATCCCATGGTAATGTCTCATTACCTTCCCCATCCCATGGTAATGTCTCATTACCTTCCCCATCCCATGGTAATGTCTCATTACCTCCCCCCATCCCTTGGTAATGTCTCATTACCTCCCCCATCCCTTGGTAATGTCTCATTACCTCCCCCCATCCCATGGTAATGTCTCATTACCTCCCCCCATCCCTTGGTAATGTCTCATTACCTCCCCCATCCCTTGGTAATGTCTCATTACCTCCCCCCATCCCATGGTAATGTCTCATCATCTGCCACCAGCATCCCATGGCAATGTCCCATTATCTCTCCCAGCATCCCATGACAATGACCCATCTCACACAGCATCCTGTGATAACGAGGGGTTAGATTTTCTATCTTCACACAGCTGTTCACGGACGCGTCGTCACGGAGCATAGGGGCTCTCAACAGGATCAACTTCAACACCCGATTTGTTCTCAAGACGTTGATGACCATTTGCCCGGGCACAGTGCTCCTTGTGTTCATGGTGTCTCTCTGGATCATTGCTTCGTGGACCCTCCGCCAGTGTGAGAGGTAGGCCACAGACACACACACACACACACACACACACAGACACACACACACAGACACACACACACAGACACACACACACACACACACACACACACACACACACACACACACACACACACACACACACACACACACACACACACACACACACACAGACACACACACACACACACACACACACACACACACAGACACACACACACACAAAACAAAAATGATTAATGAGTCTGTAGGAGACACGCGATTAGTGAGGTCCGCGGAAATTCGTCAATTTCTCGGGACATTGAAGGAGTATAGAGGCTAGATCATAGTATTTGGCCTCTCGCAGTGTGTAGCTAGCAGGGTGCAACATAGCATAGTCATATCGCTAGCGATAGTGCGAAGATTTGGCGAAGAAACGAAAAGTGGAGCTAGGGCATCACCGGTGCATGTAAGTGTGTGACCTGACCGGGTGGGACGACCCGCCGTGGAGCTACCTGATTGTGCTGTGAGTGGTGACTGTGATCAGTGGTACAGTGAATTAGTGAACTGTCACATAACGATACAGTGACTGACTCCAGAGCTTTGTGTAGACAGAGAAGAAGACCTCATCAATCTACCAGCATTTAGTGAATCACCTAGTGGGAGACAACGAAGGATAAACATCGTCATCATACATCGCTCATCTGGTTGTGTGTGAGCGGGAGGCAGTCTGGTATGTACCCCTCTCTGGTCAATTAATCAGGTGTACAGATTGAGGTAAAAGATTATCAAATTCTCGTTCAGGATATCAAATATATTTAAAAATCTCAGAGTGGCTCATTTAGGCAGAGGTAACGCATAAGGGATATCTTGACACATACAAGCACGCCCGCCCACGTACGTATACACGCACACAAGTGTGCACACGCTAAACAGACACACACACACACGTGCACGCACACACACACGTGCACGCGCACACACACACACAATTGTTCAGTCAGGGGAAAAGGCATTAACACCTGGGATAGACCTTACTATCCCCCCCCCTCTTGACCCCACCACCTGACCTGACCTGACTTAGTCCGCCATCTCCGCCCCCCCCCACCCCCAGTCCCCCGCATCGCCCATACACACACTCTTCCCCTCCCCCTCTCTCCCTCTCTCCCACTCCCTCTCTCCCTCTCCCTCACTCACTCTCTCTCTCTCTCTCTCTCTCTCTCTCTCTCTCTCTCTCTCTCTCTCTCTCTCCTCTCTCTCTCTCTCTCTCTCTCTCTCTCTCTCTCTCTCTCTCTCTCTCTCTCTCTCCTGCTCTCTCTCTCCGTCTCTCTCTCTCTCTCTCTCTCTCTCCTCTCTCTCTCTCTCCTCTCTCTCTCTCTCTCTCTCTCTCTCCTCTCTCTCTCTCTCTCCTCTCTCTCCTCTCTCTCTCTCTCTCCCTCTCCTCTCTCTCTCTCCTCTCTCTCCTCTCTCTCTCTCCTCTCTCTCTCTCTCTCTCTCCTCTCTCTCTCCTCTCTCCTCTCTCCTCTCTCCTCTCTCTCTCCTCTCTCTCTCTCTCTCCCCTCTCTCCTCCCCCTCTCTCTCCCTCTCTCTCTCTCTCTCTCTCTCTCTCTTCCTCCTCCCCCTCCCTCTCTCTCTCTTTCCTCTCTCTCTCCCTCTCTCTCCCTCCTCTCTCCTCCTCTCTCTCTCTCCCCCTCTCTCTCTCTCTCTCTCCTCCTCTCCTCTCTCCCTCTCTCTCTCTCTCCTCCCTTTCCCCTCCCCCTCCCCTCTCTCTTTCCTTCCCCCTCCCTCCCCTCCCTCTCTTTCCTTCCCCCTCCCTCCCCCTCCCTCTCTTTCCTTCCCCCTCTCCTTTCTCCCTCCCCTCTCTTTCCTTCTTCCCCTCCCTCTCTGCCCACACACACTCACACACACACCTCCCCCCCTCTCTCTCTTACCTCTCTCTCTCCCTCTCCCTCTCTCTCCTCATCCACTCTCTCCCTCTCCCTCCCGCCCACTCTCTCCATCTCCTCCCCCCCCTCCCCTTCTACCTTCTTCTCACTTCAGTGGAAGGGTCGGATCCCCCCCACCCTCCCATTTATCTCTCCCTCTATCACTCCCTCTCTCTCTCTCTCTCTCTCCTCTCTCTCTCTCTCTCTCTCTCTCTCTCTCTCTCTCTCTCTCTCTCTCTCTCTCTCTCTCTCTCTCCCTTTATCTCTCTCTCTCTCCCTCTCTCTCTCTCTCTCCCTCCCCCATCCCAACAGGGTCAAGATGGCAGCCAGAGGTCCCAGGGGAGCAGGAAAGAGCCAAGGTGACGAGATGAAGGAAATGTTCGCCCAGTTTCTGGAGGACATCAAGAGTGAGATGCAAGAAATGATGCAGGAAATGAAGAACGAAATAAGCAACCTGAAAAGAGAGCTGACAGCAGCAAAGGAGGAGATTAGAACCCTCAAAGAGAATGGTATCGAGGCTGAGAGTCAGAAAACCACCCAGGGAGAAGGTGGTAATAGTTTTCTGGATGAGAATGCCACAATAAAAGCAACATTTGCGGAAATACTAAAAAAAAAAAAAAATAACTCTGAAGTAATGACTGCAGTGATGGAGGTGGCCATGAAAGCAGCCACCTCGCAGGAGGCGGCACGCTCCACTAGCCAACTGCTGGAAAGGAAAAGATCAGTGGTTGCTGTGGGTATTAGGGAACAGGAAGGAACCAATAGGACAGAGTGGAATGACAAGGACAAAGCAGCAGTGAATGAAGTACTAAAGGCACTAGACATGGAAGGGGCCGAGCATAGCATTGAGAAGGTTTTCAGGCTAGGCCGGTACAACAAAGACCGAGACCGAATGATAAAGATAGTGTTTGCAAACGAGAACACAAAGGAGAGGATCCTATCAAGGAAGAGCTCCCTGAAAAACGTGGGAAAATTAAAAAATGTATTCCTCCAGCGAGACATGACAAGGGAGGAGAGAGCCGTGGCGGCAGAAGCAAGGAAGAGGCGCAGGGCGAGAGGGGAAAACCAGGAAGTCACAGCTCCCAACACAACACCCCCAGAGGCGAGGGGGGAACCCACAACCAGCTACCCAGTAACACCAGAAGGGAGGACAACCCCGCCTCCCTCCTCTGCATAGAAAACCCCCCTACCCCAAACCCTCCCTGCCCCCACTCAAAAGTTCAGCCAAATCTCCCTCCCCCCACACCCAATCCCCACCCTTCTACCCCTCCCCTCCTCCCGAGTCCTCCCTCCCCCCCTTTCCTTCCCGTCCTCCCTCCCCTTTCACCCCATACCCTCCCTGTCCCTCCCCCTTCACTGGATCCCCCGCCCCTCATTCCAGTATCCTCTGAGATCCTGTTACCCACCTCACAGGTCCTCACACCCATGGAACAGCCTCCCCCACCAGCAGAACACTCACCAAGGAGGCGATTTGAGAAGGGACAGAAGAAAGTGAGCCTCAAAGCGATGTACACTAACATAGATGGAATTACAAATAAAGCAAATGAGCTTGGAGAACTGGTACTAGAGGAAAACCCAGACATAATAGCCCTCACAGAAACAAAGATCACGAAAACAATAACAAATGCAGTGTTTCCACAGGACTATTATGTTATGCGGAAAGAGAGGGAAGGAAGAGGTGGGGGTGGTGTAGCTCTGCTGGTAAGAAAAGGCTGGGATTTTGAGGAGATGGATATTCAGGGCTGTGAAGGTTTCAGTGACTACATAGCAGGTACTGTAACAAATGGAGGGAAAAAAATTATAGTCGCAGTCATATATAATCCACCACCAAATGACAGAAGACCTAGACAGGAATATGATAGAAACAACATGGCCACCATTAACATAATAGAAAGAGCAGCTTCTGTTGCTAGCAGGAATGGATCTGGACTACTAATTATGGGAGACTTCAACCATGGGAAGATAGATTGGAAGAACAGAGACCCGCATGGAGGACCAGAAACATGGAGAGCTAAGCTGCTGGACGTGGCAACAAGAAACTTTCTAAGCCAGCATACCAAAGAGCCAACAAGAATGAGAGGAGAAGATGAACCAGCAATGCTTGATTTGATATTTACCCTAAATGAATGGGATATAAGGGAAGTTAAGATGGAAGCGCCCTTGGGAATGAGTGACCACAGTGTATTGAACTTTGAGTACCTGGTAGAGCTAGGACTTATCTCCCCCCAAAAAGAACTAGGAATCAAAAGGCTGGCATACCGAAAGGGGAATTATGAACAGATGAGAAGTTTCCTAAGTGAAATACCTTGGGACACAGACCTCAGAGACAAGTCTGTACAGGGTATGATGGACTATGTTACCCAAAAGTGTCAGGAGGCAGTAAACAGGTTCATCCCGGCCCAAAGGGAAAAATCCGAGAAGCAACAAAAGAATCCATGGTATAATAGGGCATGTATGGAAGCGAAGAAACTGAACAAAAAGGCGTGGAGGAACTTCCGGAATAACAGAACACCAGAAAGCAGGGAGAGATACCAGAGAACCAGGAATGAGTACGTCAGGGTGAGAAGAGAAGCAGAGAAAATTTTTGAAAATGATATAGCAAACAAAGCCAAGACCGAACCAAAGCTACTCCACAGTCACATCAGAAGGAAAACAACAGTGAAAGAACAGGTATTGAAACTTAGAACAGGCGAGGACAGGTATACAGAGAATGACAGAGAGGTGTGTGAGGAACTCAACAAGAGGTTCCAGGAGGTCTTCACAATAGAACAGGGTGAGGTCACTGTGCTAGGAGAAAGGGAGGTAAACCAGGCGGCCTTGGAGGAGTTCGAAATTACGAGAGAGGAGGTCAAGAGACACCTGCTGGATCTGGATGTTAGAAAGGCGGTTGGTCCAGATGGGATCTCACCATGGGTACTGAAAGAGTGTGCAGAGGCACTTTGCTTGCCACTCTCCATAGTGTATAGTAAATCACTAGAGACGGGAGACCTACCAGAAATATGGAAGACGGCGAATGTGGTCCCAATATACAAAAAGGGCGACAGACAAGAGGCACTGAACTACAGGCCAGTGTCCTTGACTTGTATACCATGCAAGGTGATGGAGAAGATCGTG